CCTCAGTCTAGGCTGGAGGCTCCCAACCAGCCCGCGGGCAGCAGGAGTGGGGGATGGGTGGCACGGAAACAAAAGCCCCGGGTTCCGGAGAGCGAATGGAGGCCGGGGAGGAAGAGAGCAAACAGCCACTCTCCGGCTCACTTCCCCCTCTGGAGCTCGGTTCCCCATTTGCATGTTGCTAGACAATGGGACAGTTGAGTTCTGGCCATCAAGTTCTGACCACCGGGGCTGGGCCCTTGAGGCTGCAGTGGGCGGCAGGGAGGTGTAGGCGTGACCCTCTCAGGCCGGTTATGACTCAGTCAGAGAGGTTCTGCTGAGAAACCCCATGGCTGGGGCTTGGGTTTGCACCCTGTGCTTCTGTGCTGACTGTGGTTTGGGTCCTTGCTATCCGGAGACCGGTCGGGGCCAGCAGCAGCCGCACAGCGTAGGAGCTGGTGAGCAGCATGGGCCTCGCTCCCAGGCCGGCTGTGTCAGCCCCTGCGGGTTAGCGAGAAATGGCAGCTGGTTCTCCTGCACGTGGGCATTCGGGAAGAACAGGGCTGGGGCACGTTTCATCGCTTTCCTCAGCTTCTCTACCTACCGAACAGAAACCGTGGGCATGCCACCTGCCTCTCAGGGGTGTGGGTGAAAACTAGACCACAGTGTCTTCACTCCAAACACTGGTAAGCGTAAACGCACAACACCACGTTGCCTCTAAATCCTCGGGCTGCCGGCCTCCGATATCAGAACAGCACAGAGCTCCTCATATGTTTCCATCAAGTAATCCTAGCAAACTTTTCCTGTGAAGGACCAGAGAGTAAATATTTTAGCTTGCGGGCCATATGGTCTCGGTCGCAGCTAGTCGACGCTGCAAAAGCGGCCATCTGGGCATAGCCGGTTTCCAATAAAACTTTATTTACAAAACAGATTTGGTGTGCAGGCTGCAGTCTGCAGCGGAGCGATGATGCGATGATGCGAGGTCGGGCGCGGAGCGGCCGCCACACCAGCAACTGCCTCTGACCCGTCTCCTTCTTAAAGCTTGATCTGCATTTTGCAGCTCACTTTGTAGCACAGCATGAAATCATTTTGCATTTATGTTCATGTAAATTGTTTTTCTTCCCACCCAATCTTCAGGGAGAGTTGGTGCTTTGGGAGATGCTCCGAGTTCATTCTGTCTTGCCCGCCCTGGCCCACCACCAGGAGAAAGTTTGCAGACACCTGCTCCAGCCTCGTAAGAGGGAGCTTCAGGGAACCGGCCCCCAAGGCCTGCTGGGAACGGGGCTCTCTACCCTAAGGAACAAAGGGAGAGGGAGGGTTTGCTAGTAGGAGTCCAGGTGTGAGGTCAATAGAAGGAATGACTCTTATCCCAAGGTCCTGTGATTTCATTGGCTCCCAACGGTGAGGGAAGGCAGGTGCCCATTTTAGAGATGAGGAAACTGAGGCTCTGGGAGGTTATGCAACTCAGCCACTGGTGGTGCCCATCGGTGGCAGAGTTCAGTGCGTGCCCTCCCATTGTTCATTATACTGGTTCGTGGCTGAGATACTGTGGGCTGCCAGCATGGGCCCGATTCTGTACCCTTCCCCGTGTCCACGCCTTTTGCCATTAACTTGCAGCGTCTTCCCAGGCGGAAGACGAGAGGCAGGTGGCGCTGAGACCCAGGCTTGATCGGCCAACCCCCAGGCCCCGAGACATGGGGAGGGGGATGCCAGACAAAAGGAGCAGGGCCCCCCTGCCGACCCCCAGCCGACCCCAGACGTGTGAACGATCAATCCTGTCACTGGATGCCACTGAGGGTCTGTGGTCGGCTGTTACGCAGTGTTATTGATTGCGCCAGCAGCGGCTGGCACGGCGGGAGCGAGCCCTTTGTGACATCTGTGGGCAATAGAGTCCCCTCTCGGGTTTCTGTCTGTCCGGGCTCGTTGCCAGCTTTGCTCAGGCTCATCAGCACGCCCCCAGCCCCCAGCCCTCCCCCACTCCCCCGCCCACCCTCCGGCAGGGCCACTAGAGGACTTCAGTGTTCCGGAGGGGGGTGTCCTCAAGATTTGGGGGTTAATGGCAGAATGACACGGTTGTAGCCACATAGGCTCTGGGGTCAGACGGCCTGGGCTTAAGACCTGGTGCCCCCTTCCTAGCTGTGTGATCTTGGGCGAGTTTTCAGCCCTTCCGGAGCCTCCGTTTCCTCGCCCGTAAAGGGGGATGACCATCAGGGCTGCCGTGATTATTCAACGAGACAGTGCGGTGAAGTCCTCGGACGGTGCCTGGCGTGCAGCCACGGAGGGCTCACTGCGCGCTGGGCACGGCGAGTGCGTCAGACACATGATGGCACCCGAGTGGGTCTCTGAAGGGGCAGGTGGGAGGGTCGGTGCCTGAGTGCCCGCTTTCCCTCGCTCCCAACCACTGGTTCGGGGCCTCCCGGGCCAAGGGAACAGATCTTGGCTGCACCCGGGAGTGCTCCCTGACCGCACGGCCTGCTCCCCTCCAGCCCCACGGCGCACTCTAGGTTTTGCCAGGAGAGGGGAGGGATGGTGTATTTATTCCCTTCGGCTGCTTTAACAACTCACCACAAATGCAGTGGCAGAAATGTGTCCTCTTCACAGTTCTGGAGGTCAGAAGGCCACGGTCCGTCTCGCTGGGCTAAACCAGGGCTGGATCTCTCTGGAGGCTCTGGAGGAGGCTCCTCCCCGTGCCTTTTCCAGTGGCGAGAGGCCACCTGCCTCGCTAGGCTTGTGACTCCTCCCTCCCTCTACAAAGCCAGCAGGGTGACACCTTCGAGTCCCCCTCTGACCCCGGGCCCTGCCCCTGTCCTCACGTGTCCTTCCTGCCTCCCCCTTACAAGGCCCCTTATGATTTCATTGGACCCACCTGGATAATGCAGGCTGCTCTCCCCACCCCACGATCTATCAATCGATCACATCTGCAAAATCCCCTTTGCCGCACGAAGTAGGAAACACGATCACAGGTTCTGGGGACCAGCACGTGGACATCTTCAGGGGGGCTATGGTCCTGTCCACCGCGGGTGGACCCTGACTCTCGGACACAGCAGTGGGTCTTGTTCCTGAATCTGAGGATTTTATGTTGTTGTCAAACGAACAGAACCATGGCTTATGTTTCAACCTTTATTAGCTAATAAAAGGTTTTTTTTTTTTTAATTCAATCACATTCCCCAAAGTGTATACAGGTTTGGGGCTGGGGGGCTGTGGTTTACCACTGCACATATGCCTCTTAAATACGGACCGAATTATTCCTGCACTCCGTGTTCCTCTCTCTCCCTTCCATTACTGCCTTGGTCGGGGCTGCATCGATTCTGGCGCAGCCTAGACCCTTGCAGCTGGCCCTACTGCCTCCCTGCTTGCCTGCTCCCAGTCACCCTCCATACAGCTGCCAGATAAATACTTCAGTGTGTACATCTGACCACAGTGGTCCTGCCTCTCCCTAGAACCCTCTGCGGCTCCCTAGTGCCCTCCAAATAAAGTCCCAACAGCCCCTGCCATAGCTATAAAGCCTTCCGTGAAAGCCCTTTGCTAACCCTCCAGCCACACCTCTTGCCCCTCCCTGCTAGGGTGACCAGCCATCCCTGTGTGCCCAGGACGGTCTTGGTTTTAGCTCTTGAGGGTCTCATGTCCTAGAGAACTACTCAGTACCCAGGACTGTCGGTCATGCCATTCTTGCCCCATGCCTTGAGCTCTAGGCAACGGCAGCTGCTTGGAGATGCTTCCCTTCCTTCCTTCCTTCCTTCCTTCCTTCCTTCCTTCCTTCCCTCCTCCCTTCCTTCCCTCCCTCCCTCCCTCCCTCCCTCCCTCCCTCCCTAAGGATATTTTTAGAGAGAGGGGACAGGAATGAGAAAGAGAGGGAGAGAAATATCAACAGGTGGTTGCTCTCACACTCCCCGGCCCACAACCCGAGCATGTGCCCTGCCTGGGAATCGAACCAGTGACCCTTTGGTTTGCAGGCCCATGCTCAATCCACTGAGCCACACCAACCTGGGCTGGAGATGGCTTTCTTGCTGAATGAGTCAAGTCTTCCCTGGGAACTGCCTTGGCATAGTGAGGTGTGAGAGGCACGTCCTGGGCCCACCTCCAGGGGCCAAAGTGTGACGGGAACCAGGACAACTCACGGACCAACCAGAGGGTGGCAGTGGCCGAGGGCTCTCTGAGGAGTGAGAGGCCGGAGTTCAGATGCTGGGGTGCGGGGAGGGCACCACCCTTCGTAGACTGGCACATTCTCCAGAGTGTGAGGTCAGGGGCTGGGGCCCCCACTTGGACTGTCCCCCCACTAGACATGGGGTCATTCGCTCTTTGGGCTTGGGCCCCAGCTGCCCTCCCGGGGCCCTCAGGAGGGCCGTCCCTGCGCTGAGTCCCCGCGGCTCTGCTCTGTGACCTGGCTCTGCCCTTTCATCCCCCGGGCCTCTGTTTCCCGGCCTGCCTAACACAGCAAAGGCTTTTCCAACTGGGGCCTGCTGTGACCGTGTGTGGAAACCTTTGCTTTTCTCAAACCTGCTCCCCCCAACCAAGGGCTGGGCTGCAGCCTCCTCTTCCCCCTGCGCCCTCCCTGCGCCCAGCACAGGGCTGGTGTGAGGCCAGAGCTCACGAACTGCTTCCCCGTCTCGGCGAGCCCAGGCTGCCCGCAGCCACGGGGTCCGCTCTGGGGTGGGGGCGTGCTAGGGAGCCGGAAGTGGTCCCTGGGCGGTGGCATCCTTCTGTGGCCCTTGGACCCACCGACTCCTCTGTGGAGGCAGGATCAGGAAGAGGTGATCTGATCAGGGCCACGCATTCATTGCACATCTGTGAATGTTGGGGACAAGTGTCTGGTGTGTCCTTAACTCCTGTCCCCTGAGGCACAAGGTGGCTTCCTGGGATCCCCCTTTCACAAGCACCCCCAGGAGCAGACTCCAAGGCCTAACCAGCCTGGCTGGGTGTGTGTGTGTGTCTCTCTCTCTTTGTATTCCTGAAGTGGAAAGTCGGGGCGGGGGTTAGAAAGCCCGGGAACTGCTGGGGCGGCGCGAGTCAAGAATGCAGGCGGCTTGAGTGTTAGGACGTTTATTGGGGTTGCAGGGATTTGCTGCCACAGCTCTCACGGATGAATCACAGCTGCATTTTCTGCAAGAGCAGACAACAGGGTGAGTGTGTGTGTGTGTGCCCGCGTGCCCGGGTCCCCGTCAGGGGTTGTGCTGGCACAGTGGGAAGAAGGGGGCGCCGTGGGCATCCCTGGGACTTCCCAAGCCAGTCTTGCCTCTGCCTAAGGGCTCTGGGGCCCCTCAGCCCTTCAGACTGCGGTCCAAACGGGGGGCTCAGAACACACACCTGCCCCCAGGCTGAGTGACCCTCTGCTCCCTGACCCTGCAGCTGTATACGGCCAGCTGCGCTGCCCCCTCTCCTCTGCTAGGCCCTGCGCTCCTGGGTCCACGTTTCTCTTTTGTGGGGACTGGTGGGTGCCCAGGGTCAGGACGGGAGCTCTTTGCTGAACCCAGTGGGCAAAGGGGTGGAGAAAGTAACGATTGTGTTCTCTCCTGCACCCGCCTCCAGGCTGCGTCCGGTGAGCAGAGCGCTCAGCGCTTCTTGACCGAGTGACTGAGCGAGTGAGCGAATCAGCGCACAGATGGGCGTGGGAACCAGCACGTGCAGGAATGCACGACGGAACCAGCCGGTGAGTGGGTGAGTGGGGGCGAGGGGCCGGCGCGCGCAGGGAGCAGGGCCGGGGGGGGGGGGGCGGGTGCCCACCTCGTTGATCCAGTCGATGTAGGCGGACACGCGGGTGTAGACGGCGGGCTTCTTGAGGGTGTTGCAGCCCAGCCCGGAGCCGAAGCTCACGATGCCGCGCACCTCCCAGGAGCCGTTCTCCGCCTGGCAGTTCAGCGGGCCGCCGGAGTCCCCCTGCACCGGGCCGGGTGGCATCAGTCCCCAGGCCTCCCCTGCACCCCCCCCACCCAGATGCAGGCTTGGGAACAAGGGCAGGTCGGGGGGGAGGGGGGGCTGGTGGCTCCTCTCGGCCTCAGTGCCCCCCGTTTTGGCCTTGGCTTGTCCATGGTGAGGGAGGCAGAGAAGAGGTGGTTTGGGGCTTCCTTGGCCTCATTCTGGGAGGTCCTGGCTGTCAAACTAGCACTTGATGTGCTGGGTGATCTTGGGACGATGGTAACCCTCTCTGCGCCTCAGTTTCCCTAGCTGTTCAGGTCACCGTGTCCAAGACTGCGGGAGCTGCCCAGAGAGGCGAGGAGGCTGGCACCCATGCAGGGGAACTGGGAACGTGAGGCAGGTGGGAGTGGGGGACGGGCCATGTGTTCGGAACCGGGAGGGTCCCTGATTGTCCTAGATGCTTCTTGGTGTGGGGTCAGACTCCCTGAGTCCTCTGTCTCCCTGGACAGGTGCAGCTGAAGGCACGACGGAACAAGCGTGGAGACTTTAACGAAGTTTCTTCTGCACGTGTCACTCTCACTTAGACCCCCCCAGCACCCCGGGAGGCGCTCCCTGTATCTCCATAGTATAGATGGGAAAACTGCGGTTCAGAGAGGTCAAACCACCTGCCTGAGCTCACACAGCTACAGAGGGGTGGGCCCGGGACTCGAAGGCACTCATGTTCCACTCTCCCGCTCTCGCCACAGTGCCGGGGGCGGGGTGGGGGTGGGGGGGGTCGGGGGTGGGGGCTGGGCAGGGAGGCGGTGGGTGTGACTCGTTTCTCCTAAGCCTCCTGGGCCCACCCAGAGCTCAGTCTCCTCCCATGGAAAGGGTGTGCTCATGTGGGTCTCCACCCTCTACACCTCCTTTGCCCTCCCCACTGCCCCTCCCACGTGGCCACCCGGAGAGGGAGGGGGCGGGGCCCGGACACTCACGTTGCAGGCCGAGATGACGCCGTCACCCCCAGCGCACACCATGGTGTCCTTCACCATGGTGCCCCACCAGTCTTTCTGGGTGCACGTGGCGTGGTCCACCACGGGCTGCAGGCCCTGCTGCAGCTCCTCGGCGATGGGGCCGTTGGCTGGGGGGAGAGCGGGCGATGAGTCAGGAGGCAGCGCAGGCCTTTGGGGGCGGGGCTGGGGGTGGGGATGATGGGGCTGGGACAGGTCTGCCTAGACCTGGTGGTAACCATGCAGGGGCCCTTCAAGGGGAGGCTCTGAGCCAGCGGTCCCAGGTCCCAGACCGTCTGGGTCACAGACCCCTCTGAGGGTGGGGGAGGGGGAGCGGGCTGCAGGCAGGACGAATCCCAGAAAGCACTGGGAGGTGGTTTCTCTCTAACTGGGGTCCTGAGGCTTTAACTGTCCTTTGCCTGCGTGTGGGACTCGGCTTCCAGTGTCGCCCAGAAAAAGGGCTTTCTCGCCCCAAGATTTTCCGAGTATTAATCTGCATTGTCCTCTAAGTCTTGCATAGTTTCGTTTACTTGCATTTAACCTTTTAACTCGGCCCCAGCCGGCATTTTCGGGCATATGGCATACCATAAGATCTAATCCCCTTCCCACAAATTGTTAGTTTCATAGGCACGTATGTGGCACGTACTATGTGCCCAGCCTCGTTTTAAGCATTTGGCAAATCCTGACCCATGTAACCCTCATAGCATACCTTCTAATGCACTTGTCAGAGTGCCTGTTGCATGGTATGTGCTCAATAAAAGTTAGCTGTTGTTATGATAAAGTTAAGAAAATCTGAAGATGTGTAGGCAAAGAGGAAAAGTGATGGGCAATAGTGGGTGGTGTGCTTATTGTGGGAGCCACTTCCTCCAGGAAGGCTCCCGTGGTTTGCCAGAGGCTGTACTCACTCCAGAGGCGTCCCCAGCCAGTGACGTAGCAGGGGTAGTCCTGAGACATCACGGAGCCCGCCTCCGGCAGGCATGCCACCTGGATGGTGTCACTCAGCTCCACGGGTTCCGCCAGCTTGATGAGGGCAATGTCATTGCTGGGATGCAAAGTGGAGGTTTGAGTGAGAGGGAGGCCTTGGCCACCCAGCCCAGGCTAAGGGGTCCAGGGTGTGAGTGGAGAGCCAGGCCGTCAGGGACCAAGAGTCCTCCCTAGACATCGTGAATGCCAGCTTCTCACTGGCCGACAGAGATGTCGGAGGACAGGTGATCCGCCTTCTAACACCGTCACCCGCCCTTTGGATGTAGCTCCTCCCACCTATGTCTTCACGTCACACACACTTAACGGAGGGGAGACGGAGCAGAAGCGTTTGGGACCACTGCAGGTGAGGTGTCAACCGGAAGTTAAGCAAAGGTAAGTAGGAAATTACAGTCATAAAAGAGAGACACTGGTGGAGGCAACATTTTGATGTTCTCATGTTACCAGGATGAGAGCTAGCAACCTTAGCAGACGCGGTTTGATTCCTAGTTCTGACACGCACTTGGCTGTGTGACCTGGGCCAGAGTCCTTAACCTCTCTGAGCCTCAGTTCCTTGCCTAGGGCTGCTGTGAGGAAGGAACCAGAGAGGGCCTATACTGTGTGTATTGCCATGTGTAGTAGGCACTCGGTGAAGGTGAGTTCTGGCCCAGCCTCTGCCTGAGGGAGCCCAGGCAAGCCGCTGTGGGCACTTTGGGGTTGTTATTCCCTGGCCACTTTCTGGGGGGCCCTGAGCAGTGAGGGAGATGGGAGGGGTGTCCCTCTCCACTGAGCGCTTTGCCATGTTGCATAAAGGGGCTATCAGCTGGCCGTGCAGGGCGAGGATGGGGTGCAGGGACAGGGAGGGGCGGGCGCTGCAGCTGTCTCGGGGACCCCTCCTCCTTCTGCACTGCTCCCAGGGGCCGAGGGACGGTCAGCCGGGCACTCACCGCACCAGGAAGGAGTTCCACTTCTCATGGACAAAGATGGTGTCCACGCCCACGTACAGGGAGCCTTCCTCGTCTTCCACGGCTAGGTTGTTCTTACCCACGGCCACACGGTAGGTCCGGGAGTTGCTGAACAGAGGAAGAGGACCGGGTCATCAGGGGGGCCACCTGCTAGCTGGTGGGGGGGCAAGGAATTGGGGGCTTTGGTGACTCAGCTTGGCGGCCATGTGGGAGTCATTTGGGGGAAGGGAGGGTCTAACCCCATTGACCCTTCCCAGGGTGCAGGGTAAGGGCCCTGGTCGAGTCCACTTTGACTCCTAGGTGGGTAGCCTCGGGCCTCAGTTTGCTCATTGCTGAGGCGGAGATGATATTGGAAGGCCCCCTCCAGGACTGATATGAGAACGGATTGCTTCCCGCCTGCATCATCTCGCCTGCATTCCTCTCTGGCTCTCCCGCTCCTCCCCTCACACCCTCTGTTCCCTCCTTTGTGCTGGCTGTTCCCTGCACCTGCCACCCCCTTCCCCACGGGTGGCGAGCTCTACCCTCGCTGCCTGCAGGTCTTTGCTCAAATGGGTCCTTTGCAGAGAGACCTTGCCGGCCACGTCATTTAAAATAGAACCCCCTGTACTTCTTATTCTCTTCCAGCCTGTTTTCTTCACTGCCGTTTGATGTGTTATCTATTGTATTTACTTGTGTAACGGTCTGTTGCTCTGCCTTCCGCTAGAATGTAAGCTCGCTGAGAGCACAGACCTTGTCCCGACGGCTGAGTCCCCTGGCACGTAGGAGGTGCACAATAAACACTGCTGAATGGAGGAATGAACACGGAGTTACAGATGTAAGTAGCTTATTTGGCTGAGTGTGTAGTAGGTGCTCAATAAAAGCAGCTCACCGGGCTCCCGCCCGCTCTGGGCGTCAGCCCCGCTCACCTGATGCAATGGGCGGCCGTGAGGACGAAGTTGCTGGCGATCAAGGTGCCACCGCACGTGTGCCTCCACGTGTCGTCCCTGAGGTACTGGAGGGAGATCTGGAGGAGGGGCCAGGTGTCAGCCCACAGGGACCCCCCCTCCCACCCCCTGTCCACCCACTTCCCTCCCCTGCCACAGCACTTACCTGCCAGGGCCAGCTGTGGGGCCGGGCATTGTCTCCTCCCACCACCCGGGCCGCTAGGTTGGGCAGGAAGGTGGGGACCCCGCAGCTGGAGGCTGAGGGAGACAGAGGAGGAAGAGCACAGGTGAGGGGGGCTGGCACCCCACTGGGGAGGAGGCAGGAGGAATGTTGGGGCAGACACAGATTCAGAGTTTACTGCGTGACTTTGGGGAGCCACCTAGTTCTCTGGGCCTCAGCTTCCCTTCCTGTGAAATGGGAAGAACAGCACCAGCTGGGCATGTTTTCCCTCTGAGAACAAAATTAGACGAGGCCACCAGAGCGTTTAGCGGAAGGCCTGGCGCTCAGGGAGCGCTTCCTGCCTTGAAGGGAGGAAGGAAGAGGTGGCCGGCGTGTGCGTGAGTGCCCGGGAGCACCTGTGTCCTTCCTCCTTACCTGCTGCCCTTTCTAGGCTGCAGCGTAATGTGGGGTGGGGTGGGGTGCGAGCAGTGAGTCCACAGAGTCCCAGACTGTCACAGCTGGGAGCTGTGTGGATCGGTCAAGTGCATGTGCTCCACAGTGAGACAGACCCAGACTCAAGTTCTGGCTCCACCACTGACCAGCCATGGGGTCTTGGGCAAGATGTGGAGGCACACTGAGCCTCAGTGCCCTCAGCTGCAGAGAGGGGGTGCTAATGCGCCCTGCCTCTCAAGGTAGCTGTGAGGGTTAGGGGAGCCCCTGCATGTACGGGGCTCAGCGCAGCGCCTGGCACCTAGTGAACACGCAATCAGCAGGAGCTGCTATTATGATTACTGCAGTCGTTATTGTTAGCTAGAAGGACTCTTAATCAAGTGCTCTCATTTGCCCAAACAGCCAGTGAGATTTAGAGAAGGGAAGAGACTTGTCCAGGTCCTGCCAAGAGGGAGTGACATTCAAGCCAGGTTTGTCGACTCCTAATCTGGGAGAAGGCCACCAACGTGGGGGAGCAAAGAGTCCCCACGGGAGGGGTGCCGGTGCTGGGAAAGCAAGCCCCGATTGTCCCCAGGGTGAGGTGCGGGCCCGGTCTCTGCACACCTCGCCGCTGACCTCGCCCCGGGAGGTCAGATCGTCAGCTCTGGTTTGCAGAGATGGAAGCGAAGGGGTGCATCTCACACAGCGGGTTGGCAGTGTCTGCACCCGCCTGGGACCCCAAAGCTCCCTTCCGGGGAGGCCAGCCCAAGCTCACAGCCCAGGGGCTGCAGCGGGTCCCCGACCCACAGCTTACCGCAGGCCAGGAGCGCGGCGAGGACTGTGATGCTCAGCATGCTGTGTGTGTTCAGGACCAAGTGGCCGTCGAGGCCGGCGGGACACTCTTTATAGGCAGGAGTGGGGTGACCCTCCCCACCCCACCCCACCCCACCTGGTCAAGGCTGAGCCACCTCTTGGGAAGAAACCTGTTCTTACAAGGCCCTTTCCCTGACCTTGGGTGGTTACTGTTTAATTTGGGCAGGAGATAGGGCTAGCTTGAGGCATGGATTTCCCCGAATAACCGGAGACAGAGCAGATTCTGAGGTTTACAGGTTTGGGGGGCCCCCACCACTCTGCTTGGAGTATATTCTTCTCTCTCCCTAACTCATTCTTTTAATGGTTATTTACTGGGCACCTGCCATTTGCCAGGCATTGTGCTCAATGCTTCCTACAGGGACTTAATCCCCCCAGCAACACGAAGGAGACACTGTCCTTTGTTCATTAACGCTGAGGCCGCTGAGACTCAGCAGTCAGGGCCCACCCACGGTCACACAGCTGGGCAACGACAGACCCGGGATGGGAAGGCAGCGCTTCTAACCGCAGTCCGGGGCCTCGGACGGCCGGGGCACCCCGATTCCTTCTGTCCTCGTAGTTCCACCTCTTTTCCTTTCTTCTCTTTCTGTCGTTTTCTCTCTTTTTCTTTCTCCCTTGTTCAGCTAGCATTGTCTGGGCCTGGGGCCTGCCTGTCTCCAGCCCCTGTCTTCCGGGCTGTGGATGGAGAATTGGGGCTGGGGGGAGGGGCAGCCCCTGGAAGGTGCCTGGTTGGCCGAATTCCTACTTGGGGCCGGCTTGGTTCTCTCCCTGCAGGCCCCTCAGACCTCCCACCCTCCTGCCCCCGTCTCTGAGATGGACAAACAGGACCATACACACTCTCGGGCTTCTTTCGGTCCTAAGGTTCCTTGACTTGAACGTCGAGGTTGAATGGCATATCCGGGCTGATGGCCCTCAGTGTGGGTCCAGGCGCACTGGTGCCCAGGGGTCCCGTCCCGAGCCCCGGCGGGTCAGGGTCAGTCCGTTCCTTAGAGCACCTGGTTTAACCCACTTGCCCCAAGGCACGACCTCAGCCCGGGGGCTTAGAGCCTGCTCTTCCTCCTCTTCCTCCTCGTCCGTGTACTCCCCAGAAGCTGCCTTCTGTGCTGGGCACAGCGTGCACCTTAGGAATTATTTCCCAGAAAAGAAATTCAGAATGCCAAGCACCCTGTGGTTAAGGGTGGTTATCTGGGGTTGGGGAAGATTCTAACTTATATATGTTATATATTAATTTTTTTAAAATTTATTTTTTAGAGAGGGAAGGGAGGGAGAAAGAGAGAGAGAGAAACATTAATGTGTGGTTGCTGGGGGTCAGGGCCTGCAACCCAGGCATGTACCCTGACTGGGAATCGAACCTGCGACACTTTGGTTTGCAGCCTGCACTCAATCCACTGACTACAACAGCCAGGGCTATATATATATTTTTAAATCATGCATTACTTGGGCCATATAAAAATTCCTTTTTTTTTTCCTTCTTTCATTATAAAAATCAATCAAGTTCTGATAGAGGTAAAAGACCTGGAGGGGGGAGAGCGAGGGAGTGTGAGGGCGTGTCTAGGGGTCTGTCCTGCTGTCCAGGCCTGGGGGGTCTGGGGGGCAGTCTCAGGCCGTGGGAACGTTCAGAGAGTGGGCTTCCTGAAACTGGAGGGGTGGGGGCTTGGCTCATCCCGAGAGAACTTAAAGGTGGGACCCGTTTGCCCAGAGCGATGACGCACTGACAGGCCAGGTACACGGAGGCCGTTCTTTGGTCCATTGGTTCCTCCCTCCCACGTTCACTGAGCACCTCCTCCGGGTAGGGCCGGTGCTACCGCGGGGACCGCGGAGACGCAGGTCTGCGTAGCCTCGCTGCGGCTCCCTGCCGGGCAGGGTGGCGAGTGTTCCTTGGAGTGTCCCTGAACGAGAAGTCATTTCTGGGGGGGAGCTCGATGGGGTGCGGGCCGGAAAGGATTCCTCCTCCACAGATTGTGAAGTGAACCCGAGGACTGGAGGGCGCGAGGATGCTAGAACCCCACCCCCGTTCCGCTGACCCTGTGTTTTCCAGGGCTGGAGTGGGCGCCTCCGCGGATCCGGGACCTCAAGCTGCCCCAGCCTCTCAGGCTCAGACTGGGATGGAAAAAGAACCACAGTGACTTGGCGGAGGCCGGGCTCAGGGGCGGGGCCCCCTCAGGGGAAGCAGTGCCAAGGGTGGGGGCGGGCAGTGGCGACAGCCTGAAAAACGGCAGGTGCCGCCACCTGGGGCCCCTATCTGCTGATTGCTGGGACAGGACTCCCAGGTGGCAGCTGTTACCTCTCAGGTGAGGCCTGCCAAAGGGGGCTGGTCTGGGGGCTGGTAGGTTTCGCCTTAAAACCAGATGGAAGCACTGGGGGTTCCGAGAGGGTGTGGGAGCTGAGCGAGGGGTTTGGGGGCCAGGACTCAGTGGTGGGGGGAAGGCTTACTGAGAAGAGGGTGGGGGGTGGGGGGAAGGTTTTAAGGAGCTGTCTCCCTTCTCCTTCTTGGTCCCTGAGTCACTTTGGGCCTCGTCATCCCTCAGCCCGTGGCCTGTGCCTGGGCTGGAAGTCGGGGGGCTCTTGTGCGGACCCAGGCTGAGAGCCCTGTTCCAGCTGAGTCCTGTTGGTGGAGTGCCCTGGCCTGGGACAGCCGGCCCCCCTCTCACATGCCCGGAGCTCCAGGCCCACTCCCGTCGCCGGGCCAGCTGGGCGGGGGTGTGGAGCTTGAATGAGCCCCTTCCCTTCGGGTCCTTTCTCCTTCAGCTCTGCCGCGCTTTTCGCTAGGAGGTTAGGGATCCAATGCTCTGGGAAGGCCACTGAAAGGCAACGCTTAAGCTAGCATTCATTGCTAATGATGGTGGCATCAGGTGGCACGTGGGGGTGGCATTCCCTAGGAAATACACTTCAAGGACGCCGCCGTGCCCAGAGCAACGTGTCATCCTGTCACAGCTGGAAGGGACCTCAGCCTTGGCAGAGGGCACCCGGGCTTCTGTAGTACCACCCACATCCACCTGGGGGCAGTAACTCCCATCTTAAATCCACACTCCAGGGCCCCATGGTTGCAGGCACCTGGGAGAGGAGGTGCTCTACCTAGAAAGCCTAGGGCCCGGGAGGCCTTGGGGCCCTAGCCCACCCTGGCATTGACCCGGTGGGGACACAGACCCAGTGGGACAGGGATCTGCCCAAAGCCACATGGGGAGTGCCCTGGCTCTTTCCTCGTCACCCCGCCACACCAGACGGTATGGTGGCAGAGGCTTGGGGTATCTTTCTGGGTGTGGCTCTGGAGTCCATTAATCCAGAAACTACACGGTTTTGGTGCCACTTCCGGCAACCGTGCTGTGTGCCCCGTGGCCCCATGGAGACTCATGTCCCCTCTGAATTGGCGAGGGGCGCCCGCTGTGCCCCTGGCCCTTGCCCACATCCTGCCGGCCGGCTGACCTGCAGGCCTCGGGGAGACTCTCTGGGTCTCCCTGTTCTTACCTGGGAAAGAAACAGCATCCCCGTCCCGAGCTGGTTGTGTGGATTCAATGAATGAATATGTATAAAGTGCTTAGACTAGTGCCTGGGGTTAGCGGGCGGACATCAAACTCCACCTCTGGTTGCGAAGAGTCCCTTCTCTCTGGCTTCTGAGACGACACTGAAGCCACCTCAGCAAAGGCTGCCCGAGCACCCAGGGGACCTCGATCTGTCCCCACCCCTGCCCCGTGCCAACCAACAAGAACCACACACACCTGAGAATATAGAATTTTTATCTCATTTTAGTTAAAAAAAATAATCGTACCACCGAATGAAGGAGTAGCTCTTTTGGGGGGAGGGGAGTGAGAAGAGAGGGGAAAATAATAAAAAAAAAGCAATAAGCCAAAAGAAAAAGAACTCTTTATATTCATCTGTATAAACACACGGCTAAGGCAGACGCAATCCGGGGCCGGGCTGCGGCACGGGGGCGGCGCCTCCTCCCAAATCTCCGCGGGTTCTAAGGCCAGAAAAATAAAACCTCTGCGGGTCCAACGGGCGTGTCGTGGACTCGGGGCGGGGGGGGGGGGGCGTCTTACTAAAATAAAGAGTTATCAAGTTTAGAAAGCGGCGACGCTGTCAGGACACACTGAAAGTTGCATAACTGCGGCCTCGGCGGCCACTGTTGGGACTGGGGAACGGGCACAGTTTCACGACACGGCAACAGACACACAGACACGCACACACGTGAGCAAGCACATGGGAGCTGCGTAGGACCCGGCGGTGGCACAGGGAGGGCTGGGGTCCCCATGCTTTTTCGGGGGAGGGGGTGGGTGTGACAGGACAGGTCCTGTCGCTGGTGACGAGGCGATGAATGTCACTCTGGGGAAGGATGGCATGGAAGGGTGGAGGGAGGTTCCCCGGCTCCCCACTGCCTGGTCTGTGCAAGCTTCTTAAAGCACTTCTTGGGTGCCTCCTGGAACATGGAGTCGGCACCGGTTTCCATCCCTAGGGAGGGGCCAAGCCCTCCTCCCCATGCTGCTCTCTGTAGGGCCCCTGGGACCCTCAGGCTGTCCCTGGGGCACCAGGGAGCGGTGTGTGTCTGCCCCCAGAGCCTCCCCTGACCACGACCTGAGGCATGGCCGGGGAAGTGCGGGCCCGTGAGGTAGATTGACACAGCTGTCCCCTCACCCTGCCTGGCCGGGCCCCAGAGCGCTGGGCTTGTGTGGGGTGCCAGGGCCCAGGCCCCTTCCCAAAAATAGAAGCCTTCCCCTGGCCCCTCTTGACTCCAGCAGGGAGGAGGCGGGGCTGGAGGAACAGGTGCGGGGGTGGGGTGCCCTGGTGCCTCTGATCAGATCCCTGGGTCCCACTCTACGGAGCCAGCCGCTGTCTGTTGCTCCCCCAGCCTAGGCAGGGGCTGAGGGCCCCAGGGGCAGGGCAGCCTGCTGGTTAGGGGCAGGTGGCCTCTGGGTAGGGGAGGAGGTGACAGGAGGAGGTGTGAGGAAGAGAGGGGGATGTGTGGAGGGCAGGCTCATGGGCAGAGCGCAGAGCTGGAGCAGGCAGGGGACAGCCAGGGGTGCGAGACGCAGGGACGCCAGGGAGCTCTGGGCCAGGCAGGGAGCCGGCGCTGGGGTCACGGCCTCAGGAACAGTGTGGCAGGGGGCGGGGAGAGGCCAGGCCACCTCTGTGAGAACCCTCGACTGGCTGTGATCACAGACATTGGTAGGTTTTCAGTGTGGTCCCTTCAGACAGAGCCGAGGATTCAGGCCGGGCCTCGGTTTGCCCGCCCTTGCCCGCCCTCGCCGGCCCTCGCCAGCCCGACTGGGCTCCGGGCCCCGGGCCAGGCGGTTGGGCCGCAGCCCCTCGCTACTTGAAGGTGGACTGCAGCTCCTTGAAGGCCGCTTTCCGCTGCTTCATTTCCTCCGCCTGCTTCTTCCTCTCCTCCTGCTCCGCCTTGATCTCCTCCTCGAAGCGGCTGGACACGTTGATGGCCTGGACCTGGAGTGGAGCGGGGACGGCTCAGGGCTGGAGGGGTCCTCCCAGCAAGGCACACGCCTCCCCTTCTCACTCGCTCTAAACCTGGTCCGGGCGCCACCTCTCGGAGCCTCAGTTTCCCCATTTAGAGCCTGTTGCTGAGTAACTCTGACCTCACGGGTTGGTGGAAAGAGGTAACACGTGTTCAGTGGCTGCTGCACGGCACAGCCCTGCACATGGGAACCTCTCACGTTGCACCCTTAACCTGCTTCTGTCCAGGGGAGCCCAGCTGCACACCAGTCCCACTGATGAACCCTGAAACATCCCGTCCGCCCTAGACGCCCGGCAGGAGGCGGGGGGTGTGGCCTTTGGAAGGACTGTTCCTTGCCAACGAAGGAAGAGGGAGAAGGAAGGAAAGGTGGGGACCCCGGAGCCCTGGTAGGGCAGGGCCTAGGAACCACTCGTCCCCTCCACCTAGGTGTGGGCTGAAAGGGGAGGGTGCAGTGCACGTAGGTGACCTCTGGGGGGCGTCATACTCCCTCCGAGCTGGGACTGGCAGGGCTAGCGTCTCCAAGAGGCCCCAGGAAGCACTGTGTGCTCCTGGGCCTGCTCCGCTATCTGTGGGCGTCGGCTCTTAGGCCTAGTCCTCTGAGTTAGTGGCCCTCTTCCAGAACACACAGCACACACTCACCCTGGGGGCAGGGAGAGACACGGGGCAGCCGGAAGGGGTCACAGCCTGGACGGAAGGGGGCAGAGGCCAGGAGCCCCACGGGCCCAGCCCAGCCTGGGAGCCGGCTCCCCACGTCTCATCCGCAGCCTTGGCAGGGGCAGGAAGGGCTGGGGCTGGCCCTCGCGCTAACCCAGGCTCCTGTGACACCCCAGCCACCCCTGTCCTTGAGTTAGTGTGGTCAGGGCACCCCACCCTGGGCCCTGCACATCCATCCACTCCTCACCTTGGCTTCGAAGAAGCTCTTGGCCCCCTTGACGCCCTCGGTGGAGACGTCGATCTCGGAGAGCCGGGCCAGCACGTGCAGCCCGCTGTCCTCCTGCAGCTCCCCGGCGGCCGCCTTGCGGAAGATCAGCAGGAACTGCAGCAGGGAGAAAAGCAGGGGCCGTCGGAGCAAGAAGGAAAGGGCCCAGTGTCCCTGGCCGCCCCTGGGCCCAGCCCGGCCTCCTTGGGGAAAAAAGGAGGCGTGCTCGCGGGACTGGGAGCCAGAGGTCTGGGTTCTTCTCCCTTCCCTCTCTGGGCCTTGGTCTTCCCATCTGCACAATGGGAGACCGGCGGACCCATCTTCTGCCCTCCTGGGATCCGGGGCGGCCGCGAGCCCGCTCGGTCCACACTCAGCTCCCATCAGGGGTCTTGATGACGTGGCCTCGATTTACCTCCTGCCTTTGTCCCCAGTGTTCTCCAAACTAATCTGCTCTGGATTCCAACTACTGAGTCCCAAGGTACACGACTGTGCCCAGTTTACCCAATGAGGAAGGTTCAGGGATAAGGAAACACCCTGCCCCGGATCTCAGCACCAGAAATCGACAGAAGGATTTTAACCCACGTTCTGACTCCAAACCATTACCCTGAGCTGCCTGCAGCCTTCCGCCGCCTCCTCTGTGCTGCCTGCCAGTTCTCCGGGGCCACCCTGGCGTTCAACCCCATGCCGCCCGGGCCCAGCTCCTCCTGGACCCACAGTACATGTCACTCCCTCCACCTGACCCCTCTCCTCCTGAATCACAGCCTCGTGTCCCTTCACGCTGGTTTCTCCCGCACCCCCGGAGCCCACGCAGGGCCAGGCAGGCAGGAGCCACTCCACTCTGTACGTGCTCACTACCGGAGCAAATGGATGTCCCTCCTCACTTGAAGCAAACCTCCTGGGCTCAAGGCCGATCACCCAAGGACAAAGGAGGGCTGGACTCACCTCCCGGAAGCTGAGCTTGCTGTCGAAGTCCTCGTCCACCTCCTTGATCATGTTTTTCAGGCCCAGGTGGGTCTGCGGGGCCCCGAGTTTCTCCATCATGAGCTTCAGTTCCATCAGGTCGATGAAGCCGTCCCGGCCGGCGTCGTACCTGTGGGCACGGGGAGGGAGGCCTGAGGACATCCCGACACCTCACGTTTGACCATTCAGAGTGGTCACAAGACGCAGTACGAGGGTTCAAAGGGCACCTCCCCCAACACACCGTCCTATCACAGCTGAAAGGCAAAGCTGGAGTCCTGATCTGTGGCCTAGCTACTGCTTGGTTACCTCTGGTGATGGGGAACTCACCACATGGCCTGGCAGCCTCCTACATGCTAAACAGTACTGTTTTGGACATGCCTGCTGCAAAGGAAACCGAAGCCAGCGCCTCCCTGTACTGAATGTGACATGCACAAGCAGGGAGAAAAAACTCACAATCCCACGGACGCACAGATTGGGAGGGGGGGCTCTGCCGTTAGCACCCCTGACCACCTCCAGGGACATCCCTGCCCCCACCCAGGACACAGGCAGAAGGTACCACGGGTCACAGGGTAGGGCCAGAGAGGGCCACTCCTAGTTGTCCCGGAGGCGGCTGGGGTGTGCCGAGGGGACAGGTTGTGCAGGACTCGGGCAGTGAGCGAGCAGAGGGGACAGGGCAGATGGTTGGAAAGGATAGGAACAGAGACCAGGTGGCTGCAGTGTCTCTGCCTTGCCCATTTCAGGTGACCTGTCTTCTACCACCAACAGCCTAGGGAAGACAGGGGTGGGCTACGGGGTGGACTCTACACGCCCCATCTCCACTGGCCTCCTCGAGGTAGGAGCCTGGTCAGAGCTGGCCCCCGAAGCCGTCCCCGGGCCGGTGGGGGTTGGGGGTCGGCCCTGCTGGTGCCCGGAGCACACAGCTGGGCAGATGCGGGGTACTGTTCAGACCAGCCGGGCCCTCCCATCAAGCTAAGCAAACACCTGCCTGCCGGCCACCTGCTGGGCTTGCGAGTAGTCTCGGGGCCATAAAGCCGGGCCTTCTGAGCCTCAAGAAGCCTTGGGCAGTCCCCAAAGCCTCAAGCTGGCCGGGTGACAGCAGTGTGACAGGGGTGGGGCTGCAGACACCTATGCTCAGGGAGATCGGAGGTCACCGTAAACACACATCTCATCCCCCCACCCCTCCCTCCTCTAGTCACGCACGAGCCTCACGTGACTTTGGACACCTAACAGCAACCACTTTTTGGTATCTGTCCTTGTGGTGCCAGGAACCTTATATACCGTATTTTACTTAATCCTCAAAAACCCTTATTTTTTAATGGAGGCTCAGAGAAGCTCAGTGACCTGCCCACGGTCACACAGCAGTAAAGGAAGGAAGGAAGGAGCTGGGCCATACCCCACCCCGCCCCCCGCCTGCAGGCTCATAAAGCTGCACATTTGCTCAGTGCCCAGCACCGCCCCCCGCTGCAGGCCCGGGGCTGCCAGCAGAACAGAGACGCCTGCCTGGAGCGCCGCACGGAGCATTTGTGCGAGGGGTATAAATAGTTCGCGGGCAAGTGAGTCAGTGGTTGGAGACGGTGCAGTCTCTGGGAGCCCGGCAGGGAACGCAGGAGCCGAGGCTTCCTCCCCACAGGGCTGGAGGGCCTGCGGGCAGTGGCCATCGCCGGGCCGGGATGTGATGGGGCCTTGTGGGACCCCAGAGGGTCATGCCGGCCTAGAGCCTGTGGTCCAGGCCCCCTTAGAGCTGGCGGGGCCCTGCAGGGGGTTAGGCTGGGGCCCCTCCCTTCACCTTTGGAGCCCATCTGCCAGCTGGTAAGGGCCCTGGGGGCTGCCGCGTGGCCCTGAGCGGCAGGTCTCGGTACATACAGCTCTGTGCACAGCAGCCCTGGGAGGGGGTCAGTTTTTCCCACCGTGGGGAAGTCATGGGGACTCCCCTCCTCAGCGCCTCTCAGGGAAACAGAACTCCTAGCACTTTCTAAACTTGGGCTCCAAGAAGGGCAGCGACGACATGTCTGGGCTGGAGTAGGCTGCCTGGTGGGTCCCAGCGGCCCGTGCCATTTGAGCGTCCAGCCAGGGCTGAGACCCCCTGGCATGAAGGCGACTCTCACAGGACCGAGTTCACACACGCCAAGCACCTAGCACAGTGCCTGGCACAGGGAGCTGCCTCTCAAAGGGGCAGCTGCCAGCACTAGAATGAGATGTAGTTTTATTAAGCTCCTCCCACGTGCCAGGCATTTTCTCTTGACAACCTCAGTGCTCAGCAGTCCTGGGAGGTCAGTAGCATGTCCACATGCGGCTGAGGAGGGGACAAGGTTCGCAGAGAGGACACGGGCCCTGTAACCAGCAGGCCAGGGGTCCGGACCCCCAGCCCCACGATTCCCACACTGCGCTCTCTCCGCCGCCCTGCGGCGCCGCGCCGCGCCCCTCCCCTCCTGAGCCCAGCTTTATTTACTGCTCAAGTGTCTGGGTTTCCTGCCGCAGCCAGAGGTGGCTCAGTTTCAGAGGAAGTGCAGATAAAATGTCCAAACTTGGACGAAATCTTGGGCTCTGGATTTCATGATCTCTGGCAGCTCCTGGGCCTGGCTGGGCTGCAGCCTAAACCGCGGCTTGAGCCGCTGCCGGCCTCAATGAAGGGTCAATCAATTACTGGGTCTGAGCTCCATCTTGGGCCGGCTCCAGCCCCCAGGGGGGCAGTGTGGGGGGCAGGCCACAGTGCCAGTGGATCAATAGCCGAGGTGGGGGGGGCATGATGGAAGTCAGAGAGGGACCAGGTGCTGGGGTAGGAGTTGGGCTCCTAGAGATGACACAGGAGAAGGCTGGTCCCTTAAGACCCCCCTGCCCTGCACCCCGGGGGTTGGGAATCCACCATGAGCCCTGGGCTCTGATGGGGATGTACCCTGGATCCATGGATCAGCCAGGTACCGGGGTTCACCTGAAGGTGACCCTGACAGTCTGTGACCGCATCGACTCTGCCACCTGCTGGCTGGGGGACCCTGGTCAGACCACCTGTCCCCATAAACCTCAATGTTCCCATTTACACCATGGATGCCAAAGGACGCATCTCAAGATCGAGACAAGGATGAAAAGAGGTCCTTAGCACAGGTCCCGGCCCGCAGCAAGCACTTAATTAACACCCACTCCCTATACTGATGAAAGTAAACCACTGTTGTTGCTACCTACCTTGAGCATTAAAGATGAAGTAAGGTTATAGATATCAAATGTCTAGTACATCGTAGGTGCTTAAAAGGTGCTAATCTCATTATCAATAACAGTGGCTTCGAGAACATTCTGTGTGTCAGATACTATTGCTCGTAATGGTGTCAAAAGTAATAAAAAATACATCGGTTTCTCCCCTGGGCACCAGTCCTGAGGGGGCCTGGCTGGGCGGACACCCTTGCCGTAGCCCGCCCGGGAGGCAGGGAGTGGACCAGATGTTCCCCAGGTGCCCCGGCACCGCGCCCTCCCCAAAAGCCCCACTACTCCCCCCCAACCCCCAGGCCTGATTCAAAGACCCTGCCACGTGGGGTGGTGGACACGCAGCAGGACAGGGCCTTTCGCTCTCTCGCTGGGCGGAGGGAGAAAGGAGCCTCAGTCCCAGGTTATTCTCCTGTCCTTCCTGACGGGCAGGGAGGGGACAAAGGGGGAGACCGTCACCGTGCCACCAGCAGGCGGATGACCGGCCACACAGGAGGGAGCGACGCAGGGGAATAGGCACATCCCAGGGAGGCCGGGGAGACCCTCACCCCTCGGTCCTCTCCTTGGGCTGGAACTGAGGCTGCCGGTGGCTCAGGGGACCCTGCGAAAGAGTTGGCACACGACAGCCACCTGGACGGCCCGCTCTACCCGCTTCGTGATATGGGGGGACACTGGGGCCCACAGTGGGCAGCAACCAGCCCGGGGTCACACAGTTGGCGAACCCCAAGATTCCAACATCTTTCCTCCCTGCCCCTTCTTCCCGGTCCCACGGAGGGGCCCGAATTCTCAAGCGCGCGGGGCTGGGGCGGCTGGCCGAGAGCCTGGCTCGGGGCGTGCCTGGGAGGACCAATTCTGTCCGGCAGGGCTGGCAACAAAGCGCCTGGGCTGGGAGCTCAGCACTTTTCCCCAGCACCTGGCACCGCGCCCACATTCCTACCCGCCTCCCCCTGAATAGTTCGCAACAGGGAGGGCTCGGCAGCTGCCGCCCCGGATGCCGGCGACAAAAATCCCCTCCCATCATCCGTCCTTGAAAGTGGAGCAGCCAGCCGCCACCCAGGCAGGCTTGGCTCTTTGGGCAAAGCAGCGCCCCACCCCCCACCCCCCACGCCCACCCACCAGCTCCTCCTCCCAATGGCTCTGATAACAGGGAGTCTCGGGTGGGGCGTGGGCAGTGGCTGGCTCCTACAGGGGTCAGTACCGCCCCCGTGTCATGCGATATTGTTAGTGCCTGCTCTCTGCCGGGCACTTACTAAGTGCCAGCACCTGTGCAAGAGATTCACACCAGCTCCTCACAGAATCCCGAAGCAGGTAGGACCGTCCCCGTAACACAGATGAGGCGGCTCGGGGAGGAAGTGACTTGGCCAAGGCCACGGTCGACAAGGACACAGCCGGGATCCGATCCCAGGCCGGGTGCAAACACACACCTTTAACTATTACACGCTGAGCCCCGAGGCCTAGAGACCCTGCATGGAGAACCTCAGGTTGGGGAGGGGGACGACTGGGGGCCACCTTATCCAGCCACGTGTGAGATTCCAAATGCGGTCTTCCTGCATGGCGTCTTAAATACCACTGAGGATGGGGAGCTCACTACTCCCCTCAGGCGGCCCATTCCGGCCTGGGAACTGCCCAGGAGGAGGGCGACCCTCACACACGACCCCCTACCCGCCAGCTGTGCCGTGCGATCTGAGTGCAGAGTGAGGAGTGACCACAGCTGCAGCACGGGGACCCCCATCCTGGCTCTTTTGCCAATAGCCCCTCTGCCCATGGGCACCCCCAGGAGGACAGGCAGCTGGAGACGGTGGAACTTATGGACCAAGGAGTTCCCCCCAGGACCACCTGGCTTTGGTCTCAGCATTCACAGACCCTGGTCCTTCCCCACCCTGTCTGGGGGGACCCAAGTACCTCCAAGGCCTCTATTCTTTGCCCTGCAAAATGGGA